TGGTCTTCAAGCACCGCGTCATGCTGCCAATCATTGAGGAGCTGGTCCAAGAACGACTTCCGCACCGTTTTCAAGTCATCGCCTAGGGGCCGTTTGGGGGGAGCTTCTTGGAGGTAACAGGGTCACTTCAGAACACACCTTTCAGGTCAAGTTGGAACATACAACTTTGCACCGGCTGGGGAGCATTCAAGGGGATGGGGCAGGGAACATGCCTCTTGAATACGACTTGTCATAGTGACATGGTACATGTCGTAGTGTCGACATGCATAAGGCATATGTTGAAAACTTCACTCACATCCTTGGTCGCGTTCAGAAGCCACACCCTCACCTGGAGATGACAGAGCTAGCTGCAACCAATGTCCAGAGCTAGCTGGACACGGGTGGGCAGCCCTTGGATTTAAAAAACATTATGCCAGTTCACTTTCTCAAACTTTGAGCGGAGACACCAATGCATGTCTTGAGATTGCCATACTTTCGGCGCAGATCTTGCAAAGTGCCCTTTGGACTTTCTGCGGGCTTGCCCTTCTCCTCAAGTTTCTGAAGACTGCACGCACTGCAAGCATCACAAGCCCTAAAACATACAGTGAAAAAGGAAGGACTGCGTGAAAGCAACAGTGTTGACGCGCCATGAAAAAACCCTCCTCGTTCTCGACCCTTTTTGCAGCTTGCTTGTTCTTCGGACGTTCTGCGGGTTTGCCCCCCTCCTCAAGTTTCTGAAGAATGCACACACTGCAAATATCCCAAACCCTAAAGCATACAGTGAAGAAGGAAGGACTGCATGAAAGCAACAGTGTTGACGCCACATGAAAATACCCTCGTTCTCGTCCTTTTTTGGAGCTTTCAAAGCAAATGCCACTGCGTCTTTTAGTTTTTGTTGATCCTCTGGTTGGGAAGCAAGAAGTTCGTCGAGGAGATGACGAGGAGCAGCCTTGAAATCCCCTTCGGGCATACGGCTCCACTCCTCCAAAATGGTCTGGTCTAGGAGGGCATGTTGAGCAAAACAACGACGGATGATGCACAGAAAGTAACCGCAGATTGCGGTTGAAGCCACAAACATACTGCAAAGCAAGCAGTTTCCCAACAGAACTTTGCGAACTTGGAGAGTATCTTCAGGCAAATAAAACCTCAGTGCACTGCACTTCTCAGCCGCAATGCAAAACATGGTAAGTTTGCTGATCAGAAGCCAAAAGATCTCAGCCCTTGTCAAGGCAAGCCCCCTCAATTTGTAACTTATAATTTTTCTGGCGCCCTACCTGAAACTGGTGAGTTACAGCTTCAGAGTAAGGTACATGTGTTGATTCTCACGCCCAGCACCCAGAAAAATATCCATCAAAAATGTTTAATCGGTGAGGCCACAACATGCTACAGCTAGCTACACTTCTGAATATTGAACCTCCGCCACAAAAAGGAATAGCATAATGATAACTCCGCAATGTGCATCTCACGGCAAAACGCACCTCCATACAAGCTGCATATTGATCCAACTTACATCTTAGTTTCAGGATCCCAGAAGTGACATGTTGTGATATTCCTGCTTCTTACAAACCACCTTCAAATCTCTGTGAGACAAAGGGTCATATCAAGTAAATACGCCACGTTTCTTGAACCTGGAAGCGCTCAGCTTGCATGTCTATTTCGGGGGCCGGAGCGTGATTGTATGGCACCTCCACCCAAGAGTAGGGAGGAACAACAGGAAGCCACGTTGCAGCGGCACATGCCAAACACCACGCCTTTCAACCCTTCAAGAATGCAAGTTAAATCCGCCTGTCCGGGTCTGCAAATGGGTTGTGGGCACGTTGCCTGACCTGTACCTTACCGCTTCTACTTCTACTTGCCATCGCGTGAGATCAGCACATGATGATACAGTTTCTTCGGCGCCATGTTTGCTGTTTGCATCGCTGCGCCATACTAGAAAACCTGGGGTTTGGCGATAGGAAGTTGATGAGGTCTCAGGTGTGGTCTGTCCAGAACTTCGTCCGTGTGAGAGGGTAGGTAAGGAGATCAGCTCATGCCTTAAGAACTTGAGGCCAGGGGGAGGAGGTCGAAAGCTAGCCGAATCGCACCGGATGTACTAGTTACATAGTCGGCGAAGCATGTAGTGATTACATGTTTTGGGAGAAAGGTTGCTACGTACATACTTTGCGCTAAAGAATGTAAATGTGACATCGCCGACTGGGAGGGTACATTGGAACAACACGGGTGCACTCGTTGGCAGGCACGAAGATGCGTGATCGGCAAATCTGGGAGGTAAATTTACCCCCCGCTTTTGTATGCCTTGAGTCGGAAAGAGGGGTAAGCATTTCTGACATCACACGGACTGTGCATACACTAGGGCGTCCGGTGTAGGAGAAGCACGGGTAAAAGGTATATGGAGTAGAGTGTCTTGAGGAAATAGCCGGCTTATGGAATAGGTCCACTGTGTTCCACTTGCTTGACCAAAATCGTGGTGGAAGTGGATGGCACATGATGGCACCACCTGTTTGGTATTCAGAGTTGTTGGAACTGAATGTTTGTTTCATTGAAGGGGCCATGCCACCGACGTACATAACCATGAGTGTAAGTTGTTTTGTGGCTGGGAGGCTGACACCTGTATGCTATTCTGCATCGTGAGGTTGAGATTCTGAGAAGTGAGTTGTGCTTTCTTGCCAGCAGCCAGCAGCCAGCAGCAACCACCAACCAGCAGCCAGCCAGCAGCACCACGCAGCAGCAGCGCAGCACCAAGCCGCAGCAGCAGCAGCAGCAGCAGCAGCAGCGGCGTCGTCAGCAACAGCAGCAGCAGCACCAAGCCGCAACAAGTAGCAAAGCAGCAGCTACAAAAGCGGCAACCAGCGGCAGCAGCAAACAGCAGCAGCAAGCAGCAGAGCGGCAGCAGCAGCAGCACCGTTTACACCAAGCCACCGTTTACACCCAACCAACCACGTTCACACGTTCAACCAACCCCCGCTACACGGCGCAGCTGGGAGTCGAACCGTGGGGGGCGGGAGGGGGGGGGGGGTAGGGGGGGGATATCCCCCCAACGTGGGTGTTATTGATCAAGCTTTAAGGCACACAGCTCATCCCACTACCAATTGCTAAAGCAAAGAAGAACTCAGCTAGCACGCTAGCTTTCGTGATATGTCAGGACGTTGCGACCGCTGTGGGTATGAGGTCCAAACACGTACCTTGACATGTCCCAAGTCTTTGCTTACAGATTGAAAAGTGCAAGTTGCTTTTGGCCGACTGGAAAGAAACGATTTCTCAGGGCGCAAATGAAGAATTATTGGATATGATTTTGAAGGTCCAGGGCACGCAGCGAAAATCATCAGGAGCAATTCGACCAAGCGAAAGCAGTAGTAAAATTCCACCTTGACGCTGAACGGGTTGCCCTTCTCCAGCAAAGGATTCATGCAGCAAACAACGCTGAGGAATGCTTTGGTAACGTCGCGACCATTGAAAAGGATCCAAAGAAGTTGGACGCAGAAGTCAAGCAAGACCTGGGTGATCTTTCGCTATCTTTCGGGCGTGATCAGAAGAACACATACGCAAAAGATCACATAATTGCAGCAAAGGTCTCAACAACAGCAGAACTGTGACAGTGTGCCCAAATGAACACAATCTATGACCCTGAGTTTCAAGCTTTGAAGGCCTCCCGAGCGCAACCCACTATTTCAGCTGAGACACCAACGAAGGACCCAAGGTGAGTAGGAAGTTTTGGGTCAGGTACTTCCAAGGTTCAGGCCACTGGTCCGCAAAGTGCACATCGACCAAGCCACGAGTACACACACTGAACAATGCAATGCTTGAGATCCGTGAAGCAATTTCCGAGGTCCTCGCCACTCCGAGCAGGAACAGTTTTTCCATCTGGCTATCTTCTTCACGGTCAGCTGTTCCTGGAAGATGGTCTAGACCAGGCTCTTTGCAGTCAAAGCCCATCAAGGTGTAGCCCATGGTTGCGAAGGACCATATCATTGATGCAAACACCATCATCTCCTGCGTGATGCCCAGGTACACAATAGTTTGGGGAATGTCATGATGAGCGAGAGCATAGGCTGATAAGAGGGCAGAAATTGACGCCTCCAGAGTTGCTTCGGCTAGTTTGCTGCACTCCATCAGTCGATGCTTCTTTTCTCCTTTGTCTGACCAAGAGACGCACGTCAAGTATGCCATGTGAAGACAGAAAGGTGCCAAATATCCTGCCGTCACGAATACGACGGGATCCTCGCAGGGTGATGCTAAGGACAAGCAACGATGTTCAAGGCGTTTCGAGCTTGACGGTACCAACATGTACCAACCAATGAAAAGCACACCCAACTGATTCCAACTTCACAACATGACAGTGAGGAACAAACCAGTCCACCCTGGTCCTCTGCTTCCTCATCTTCCTCGCGAGGCCGCGATGAGCGCATCTCTACAAAAGAGTAAGCGTTCGATCCCATGATGGCAAACATGTTGAGCAGCGCGTAATTCATGCAGCCTGTGGAGATGTAGGTCAGAATGGAGTTCACATCCAAAGCGAAATCCACATAGAAAAAGGCACAGTCTCGCAGCAGTCGGAAGCGAAAGTTGTTCCAAAAGTCCTTGAGATTTTGCACGCATGTGCCCATCCAGCTGCACTGGCCAGTAGTCCCTGCATCATCTGCAGTTGGACCGAGAAGGGGCTGCTGGTCGTCTGCAGGACAGAGGCAGGTAGCACGGGAACTCATCAGCGCAGCTTTGCCAAAGCCAAACAGACTTTCAGCACTTGAGGGCTTCGCAGAGCCAAACGGCGGTCCACCCAGTCCGCCCTGTTCCCAGAAGGTCAACGTGGTTTATTGAAAATGAAAATCATTGCGAGGGCGGCACAACATCTTTGGCCTAACCCCGTCAGGCATGGGCTTTGCTCTATATAATGTAGCCTTCATGCCAAACTGCTTCTTCAACTGACAGAGTTTGAAAATACATGGCCCTTCCAAACCCGGTGACCCCAAACCACCAAAAAAACAGAATCGAGTGCTTCGAGTCTGGCGCTTCTGCCAAGAAGCCAAGGAGTTCTCATGTAGAGTCAAGACCGACAAATGGCGCAAGGACTGCAAGGAGGATGGAAACGCACCGGACCTCGGACTCGCTGCTCTCGCTTGAGAAGTCAGCCTCTGTGGGCCAGTTTCGGTTCGAAGCATGAGCTTCTCAGGACCTCGCAGCGTGATCAAGGAGACTCACTTATACAATGGATGTTGATGGATGTTGCTTCCACCCTGAAATTCCGAGACCCTTCGGTCTTCAGGTGACCCGAAAAGGAATGTCCTTCACTTCATCACTGAACTTCCACAAAGAAGAAGATTCTGCAGGCGTTCTCCGGTGCGAAACAGACGTATCAGCCGAACATCGCGCGCCGCCTATGACGGCTTTTTCCAGCACAGCACCGCTCTTTCTTCCGCTTCCGCGCGGCCGGAAAGCGCGGGGTTTCTTTGGGCTGAGCGACAACTCATTGCGGTGAAGTGTCAGCACCACCAGCTGTGTAGCTTCAATGAGAGGGATCTCACCCTGCAAACGGTTGTTATTCAAGGACAGCTGCTTCAGCTCCTTCATCTTCAGCAGGCACGCCTAGAGAAACACTTGGAGAGAGCCCCCCCTCCGGAACTCGGCGGCCGTCGAAGACAGAACTTGCTGGGCTGTGGCCAGCGGCCAGTGGAAGGCTGCTAAGGCAGGCCGGTTTGTTTCAGTTGGCACATCAATTTGAATTCTAGGCACATATTCGGCTTTTACCTGTTTTGGAGGTTGAAAAAACGGCGGCTTTACCCAAATCAACTGCCCACGGTTGTTGGAATGTTTGAGTCTTCTTCAACCCTCCAAACCACAAAAATCAACCCTCAATGCCAAATGCACTTCTAGATATATAACTACTGTAAGTTGCAACTTTACAAGGCTCCAGAACAACTCCAGCGTATCCCAACATTGTTGAAAGACAGCCAGTGGCACTACCTTTTCAATGGGTGAATGGGTTTTGAGTTCTCGAATCAACAGCACAAGGATTCTCTCGCCCAGTCTTCTCAGGAGTTCCATCAACCGTCGACCAGCTCAAGGCTCCAGCCACCGAGGCACCGGAATCGGGCCGGTGAAGTCGTTGTGGCTGAGCTGCAGCGTTCGCACCAAACCCGAAACACAGAGCTGCTGCAGCTGAGACAAGTTGCCCCCCTGCCGTACCGAGAATTCCACCGGACTTGTTCGGTCTTCACCCCCAAGTGAGAGTAAACACCCTACGGCAGAGGTGCCGTAGGGTGTTGGGTTCACCAGGTTCATCTGTTTGTCATCAACCAAAGGACATCGTGGAAACTTCCGCCCAGCAGGGCGGCGGAAGAGTCTCAACCCCAGGTAGACTGAAGGATGAGCATGGAAGGAAATTGAACAAAGAAGCATAGACGACGTCAACACAGAATCAAGAGCAGTTCACCTCTATTATATAATTTGGTGGGCGTCATTGAAAGATTGAACTGTCAGCGTTGGATGCCTATCTACTTGCTTGGAGATGTGCTGCCCGTCCCCTGCCTAGTGGTTACACCACCCTAGGAACATCGCTGCCCCAAATGTTGGATTACATTCAGCACGAATCAACTCCACACAAAAACTCCTGCTTTGAAAGGCTCCCACGACTTCCAACATCCTTTCATCCACGGCACCAGCCAATTGTGCCCCAAGTCCACCACCTTCAGCGTCGTAGGCAGTCTTGGCAGCTCGCCGTTGAGCAAGTTCCCTCGCAGGTCCAGGACGCACAGCGACAGCACGTCCAGCGCCGGCAGCCTCCGTGGTGATGGATCTGTTCTTCAAACTACCACATCCCACTAGCACTCGCCCAAGAGAATCACGCACATTCACCAACCTTTCCTTACAGTCTTGGAAAAAATGTGTCTCCGTTTCTGGGTCCCGCCTCCCTGAGAGCCAATTTCCCGCCAAGCGCAAGTCCTTCAAGCTCCTGAGCCTTTGCAAAGCCTCGGGGATCTCATTGGTCAGTCGGTTCTCGCTCAGGTCGATTCGGACCAAGGCCTGCCGGCCGTTCCGGACCACCGGGTTCCGGACCACTAGTGGGCGGTTTCTTCACAACACCCCCCTCTGGTTGCAAGAATGCAGCCCCTTGAAGATGACAGGCAAGCTTAATGGACGCCACAACTGTTCTCATGATGCTGAGGCACAACTGCTGCGTTGAATCCCAATCTTCATCATGTTCAGAAGTTGACGCCAAGAGAGAATTATATGTAGGGCTCCTGTTAGTCGTTTGTTGAATTCATTTCAAGAGATGTTGCCAAACACGAAGCTGCCTTAAAGGCAGCAGTTTAGGAAGAAAACACCAGTCAGAACACATCTTCAAACCCCCAGACAGAGACAAGGAAAAGCTCATACACCTCATGGAAACTCATGCAGTCCATGACATACCTTGCTTAGGATGGAAAAGTCCAGTGCACCAGACCGTACAGCCATTGCCTTCGAGAATAAGACGCACAGAGGCCACTCAGGATGTGAAATGACCCACCATCTAACAAAGTGCCTTTCCCATAGTACCCAAACATGTTCGTCATCTGCGATGATTCTTGGAACGTCAGGGCAGAGGTTCCAAGTCGACAGGAATGCCGGGGGCGCTCCGCGCTGAAAGCATCAAGAGTTGGACACAAGCTTTGCGCTTGCAGCTGAGCGCCTGAGCGCTTCTGGGGCAAAATCCAGCCAGTACATTGTGCCCTGGACCCCTAGGCACACAGACCAGTACATGTCTCTTTTTGCTGGAGGACTAGAGGCCTCCAGACCCCTGCAATCACGCCTCAAGACCCTGCAGTTCGGCAGGGATGCTGCCGGACAAGAGATTCCCGTGCAAATAGAGCCCCCTCAAGTGCTTCAGACGCCCCAGCTCCTGATGCTGTGCATGTGGTGAGCTCTTCAAGCCGGGTCCACGGGCAACACTTTGAGAAGTTGCAGGTGTACCTACCCTCTTGGGAGCTTCACACCATTCCTAAAATGGTCTTCAGGTGACCCGAAAAGGAATGTCCTTCACTTTGGTGTTCCCGAAAATAGTCTTTAGACTTCTATGGTACCCAAAGAAGCACAAGCTTCAGACATAATTGTTCTGATCTCTGGCGCTCAAAAAGAGTTTGGCGATGGCGCATCAGAGGAAACCCGGAGAAGGAACGAAACAGGAAGGATGGAAAGAAACCACAGATTCTCTGAAAGAAGTGTGATCTTGTTCTGTTGCAAACAACCACCAAAAAGACGATCAAAAGGCTGCAAAAGAACAACATACATAAATGTAACCGTTCAAAACATGCTTAGCTACTTCGTCCTTCTCAAGAATCCTGCTGCTTGCCCTGTTTCCATGGGAATCCGTTTCTCCAAACAGCTGCGAACCGGCTGTGCCGCGTGCGTGTGCCGGTTGGTGCTGGTGGGTGCTGAACACCGAAACGAAAACACATGCCAAACACCGACACGGCAAAGACACGGCCATGCACAAAAAGCAACACGAAGTCATGTAGAATCTTGATGTACCCTATCATAGAAGATCATGGAAGACAGGTATTTTTGGGGTGGAAAGACAGGTCAGGTCCGATCATAGAAGACAGGTTCATGTAGAATCTTAAAAAAAAAGGAATCCATCAATGTGGATTGTAAAACCTCTTCACGCCTCGGGGTTTTTGAAATACAATGATATAATGCACGTCTTGACCAGTTTCACCACTTCTTTTGCTGCAGCCAGAACCGCGCCCCTCCTCCGCCCTCCGTCCTTCGGGATAGGCCCCGTGAGGCGATTCTGGCTCAGAATCAATTGGTCCAAACGTTCCAAGCGGGCCAAGTCTGGAGGGATTTCACCCTCCAGTCCACACTGCCAGCAATCTAAGTTGTAGAGACAATCAAGCTGCCCCAGCTCCTGCCGATGTTCTCCAAAAAGTGTCAACAACAAAAACGAAAACTGCGAACAAGAAGAAATCCATGAATGACATGAAGTCCTTCGATGATCCAAACGCTTGTTCGAACCTGCTTCTCCCAGCCGATATGAAAAATCGAAAGCTTGAAATACCCACAGGCCTTGGGGATGGAGCCATGAAAGCGGTTAGGCCCCAGACGCAAAGATCTCAACTCTTGCATCGATCCCAACTCTATAGGCAGCTCTCCGGTCAGCAGGTTCTGCCCCACATCCAGCTTTGCAAGGGAAGTGTTCAACCGGGTCAACGCCACCGGAAAGCTGCCACTCAGCTGGTTTTCGCCCAGGTTCAAGAGTGCCAAATTCGGCAGCTGCCCCAACTCGGGCGGGATCCTGGCGTTCTTTTGCCAGAAATCCCGTTGAAGAGATGCATTTTGTCTGGGGTCGACTTGTCTGGGGTCGTCGCTCGAACGCTTCAGGCAGGTGGATGGTTTCCCACTTCTTTCAACGCGTTGGGACTGGGGAGATTGAAAGGACCAGGCATCGGGCGCAAGGCGCGGGGTCATCGTATGAGAAGTTCAGCCACCTGGGACAAAGACACTCCCTGAAAGATGCCAGTTTGTACTAGGGAAAACCATATAGGAAAATGACAAGTTTCCGCTTCCATGATCATTTCAGGGAGTGTCGTTCTGAGGACACTATATACAACCGCTCAAGTGATATACAACCTCCAGCAGAGAGAAAAAGAAGCGCTTGGCCTGCTTTGGATATGTAGGCGTCCTCCAGGTCCCTCCACATCTTTTGGTCCCATCTCCATGTGTTGAACTTTCTTGAGGTGTTTTACTTTCAGCATAACTCCCAGAAAAGCTTCGTGGGACAGCAGGATGAGTTCGTTGAGCTGACTGCCACTCACACCTACTCACCCAACATCCAAACGTTCAACTGAAACTCTATGCTCATATCATCTCATTGCTTTCCTGACTCTTTGGATGCACAGTGATGCACATCTCCCTGTCAGTCCAAGTCAGTCCCAAGTCAGTCCCAGTCCTCCCGCTGAGTTGGTTTGATTGCACCTGCAGTTCCACCAACTGTGGAAGGGAACCAAGCTCCTTGGGGATCTCGCCACTGAGACGGTTGTGGAAGATCCTCAAGCGTTCCTGAGGGAAACTCCAGCTTTGGAATGAAGAGAACTGGAGTGTGAACGGGTCAAACCCATGGAGAATAGATGCAGAAATGTGAGAAGACTGTTCGGCATCACATCGTTTCTCAAGCTGCGTCCAAACAGTCTGAATGTGCCAACTGGGTGTGTCACTTCCCACTTCATTCCAAGTTCGCTTCACCATCAACAGCCTCATCCAGGCACCTCAGTCACAAGCACCTCAACGGCCAAACCTCATCCAAGAGGCCAACCTCTGGAGATGTCCCAGCTCCTTGGGGATGGATCCCTGCGGTCCACTGCGTTCGCGGTCCGCTGCAGTCCGACACTCGGTCGAGTTGAAGCGGCTATTTCAAGCATCGTTCGTCGAAGGGATATTCCAACAACTTCACCCAATCAACCAGGGCTGAAGAACCTGAAAAATTCCAAGGAAAGGAAAACATATACATGTATTAAACATATATACATCATATGGGTTTCCAGTCAAAACCCAGAGTGTGAAGCTCCATCCGTGCTGGAATAGTCTGGATTAGTGCGTGCTTCACGTGTATGCTACATCATAAGTACTCTGTCAGAGCTGAGCTCGGCAATTCTCCATATGTAAAGGCATGCTGTAGCAGCTTTCGGACAGGGAATGGACGGATCATCCTGTAAACCAAACCATTCTCGGTGAACCAGCATATGACTGACCCTGCCTCAAGGCGATTTTCCGACAGATCCAGGATCTCCAAGTTCTTTAGCTCCCCAAGCTCCGGCGGAATCGAGCCGATGAGGTAGCACTGGTAGAGCACCAACGTTTCCAGAGCCTTCCAAGAAGGAGTTCGGCTCCAGAGCGTGCTTCGGCTCCCGGAGTGGAACGGACGGAAAAAACGGCTTGAAAAACGGCCACCAAGAGGAGTGCCAGCTGTCCGGGGGGCTGTTCTTCCTTGACCGGTGGCGGAAGTGGCTGGAATGACAGGGGGTGGATTCAAAGGAATCTCGATGGGGAGGGAACGTTCCATCATTCGCGACAAGTCGCCAGTCAGTCAGCTCTTGAAAACCACCAAATTTGGGGGGCAAGCCATGGACTCTGTTAATTACCAATCTTCCACAGTGTATAGTGAAAAACAACGTGATCCCATGGAACACAGGTCACAAGATTCACATCTCAATGCTTGGCAGTGTCCAAAACAAGAAAGCGCGGCTCAAGAATAAAGACTTTGATTCGGCAAATAATTCACAAAGAGCTGCAAGATCCAGCAAGCAATCAAAACATATCAAACACAATGCCAGAGTCCATCCTTTTCCTGACCATCGCCTGCAGTTGCCCGATCTCTTTAGGAATCCTTCCACGGATCTGCCGATTGATCCATAATAAAGTCAGCTCGCCCTTCTCGTTGCACCGGACATCCATGTAACTCACCTCACAGCGCATGCGCATGCACCAGCATGCGTCCAGCTGGCTGGGGCTTTCTTGCGGAGGGCAACACTCCTCACGAGACGATCCACCAGAAACACCACCAAAGACTCACTTCCACCAACCTTCACTCTGAGAAACCCCAAAACGGACTACAGAACATACCCTCCCTGCAACCAACATGGTTTCGTGGACACTGTTGGTACAAAAGGATCCTTCCAGGGGCCATCCACGGTCACCATGAGGGAAGGTCAGCAGGGTCATCTGTTCACCCAACAAGTTGTCTCGGGCACCGAAGGATGGCAGGGCTTCTGTAAGATGTTCTCTGCCTCCTTGGCACCAAAGCCCAAGGCTTTGACCACCAACGAGAGCACCTCCACAAGGGGAGCGGCAACGAGGTTAGCCGGCGCGAGCGCGGGGGGCGGAGGCTTCGGAACCGATTTTAAATGCCTTTCGCGGGAGCAATCGGGCCACGCGTCCAGTCATGCACAAAAACCGAGGCCTCCAGTTGCATGGATCTGTCTAGTTGAATGAGCAAAGACCTTCTAGAAGTTTCCCATCAGTGGTCGATCCGGGGTGGCGGGGTGGGGTGTTGATTGTCGCCAGGTCCGATTTGGAGGCAGTCGGCAGGCAAGTCAGCGACACCTGGCCCCAAACCAGAGAGAAATGGATCTTTCTCGCTAAATCCAGGGCCCAGGGGTGAAGGAAGCTTTAATCGCAATGTACAGCCCCATCAAGTAGGGTGAGTTTGGGTCGGTTGGGCTAAAAACAACAGCAGACCCTCGCTTCTGCACATCAGACGCACACCAGACGCAGTGTTGGTCGGACGAGAACCCCCAGGTGCACCCCAGACGCCCCTCTCCAGGTCCACCGGGAAAACAAGCCAATTCCACGACGTACCTGCCTCACTCTGGGAGCGATTGTCTCCATTTGCCTCGGCAGTGGGTGAAACCCCGCGGCAAACGTGCCACGGGGCAATGCAATGGGCAAGATGTGTGTGGTGCACAATGGACAAAGCAGTCAGATCGAGATCTCGGCTCACAACACTTGAAATGGCTTGCGGCAAGTTCTGTGTGAGCACCAACGGGACAAGTTGAACACGGAAAGAAGTCTAAAGTCTAAAGGTTGTGGGTCAAGACCCTGTATGCAAGTGTATGCGTACGTACATAACCATGTATGTATGTGTACATATATATATATATATGTGTGTGTACATGTGTGTTACAGTTTGTAAGGTAGCAACCTTTCAGGGGTCATTTCGCTCAACCGTTCCCTTCCTCCCAGACCCGTGGCTGTCACCTCGTCGGCGGTCACCTGCCACGCGGGCTCCGCGGCATCCAGTCGAGCTTTGGAACGGCTCTACAATCAACTGCATCCACCTGTGAACTTCATATCATGCCTCCTTCAATCGCATGTGATCTCATGGAGTGAAAGGATCCAACAAGGTGAGAGATGACTTGTTCCAACCAGGTGGAGATTCGATGTTAGCATCCAAATCGAAGGCCACAAGCGCTGTTGTAGAGTCAGTTGAACGGAAGACACTGATCAATACACATGGCGTCAGCTTTGTCCTACTGCAGTGTTGTTTGGAATGTCTACATATATATACATATATATACATATATATATATATATCAGCAACCTACCAAATGACTACCAAAGCTTCCAGATGACTGCTGCAAAGAAGGAAAAAAATAACAGCACATGTCGGCAAGAATCTAGCCCTGAGTCATTTTACCACCCAGCCAAAACGATTCCAAGAATATGCACTTGGGTGTTCCACATGGTTTTTTTACGTCCACAGAGGTTTTGAAAGCCAGCCGGCTTGACCAACCTTCCAATTTCCCTTTCAGACACATTCCACACGGCGGAACTCCACACCTCTAGGTGGAAGGCCCAATCCACGCAAAGCAGCCCCAATCCTTGGAATCCATGGGACAACTGGTGGGGGGAACCTGATCCGGAGTCATCCCATACACTGGAAGGAAAGGAAAGACCCTCGAAGAGAAGATGTTCGACCAGGATCACAGCCTTGAAAAGAAGAATGGGGGTGGTGAGGAAGAGGCAACCATCATCAACATCGACAGGTCGAGGAAAGAATGAGTCTTTGTGAAACAAGACATGGATGTATTTTGGGATGTGAAGCAGCCAGCAAAGAAATGGGGAAACCGCTGTATAAAGAAGACCATCCAAAAACAGAAACATGTTTTAACACATTTCAGAGGAGTGGTTTTTGGGATGGTGGTCCTTGACGCAAAAAATGAAACCATTGGCAAACCATGTTCAAAACCAGTTGGCAAGTCAAACAACGCAGCATCATTTGTCCAATATTTTTCTGGGGAACTGCGGGTTTGGTTGCCCAATTTATCCAAACTTTGGAAGAAAATATGGACAACTTGCATCAGCCTGCAGGCCTCCATCAATTTGCAACCATATGACGGACCAACATCGAGCTGGCCGACTGTTGCACATGGCTTTGATGTCAGGATGCAAATACCTTCCTATGCTTCAGCTTTCTGGTTGAATGTAGACTTGAAAAAAAAAATATATATATATATATATGACTGCAGAACACATTAAATTCAAGACATGCAAGAAAAATGGCAATGGAAGAATTGCACGATCGTGACGGTTTGTTGTCAAACATCAAACATCTGGAAACCACGTGAACACAAAAATGTTGTCGCCTTATTCCACAACGCGCCGATCACGATCACAAATTGAAGCTGTCAAGGCCATCGAGGAGGCGCAAGTCATTGGGAATGGTGATTAATGATTAAGCTGGTACAGTGGCCCATTCAAGTAAGTCCGTCATTGCAGCCAGTCATTGGCTAGCTCAGCTGGAGGTGGTTCCCGAAAGAGGGAGGAGAGAGACGGGTTTGGAACTTGTTCTGGAAAGAGATAGGTGGCCGGTGCCGCATTGACACGAATGTTATTGTTCCTCCCACCTACAAACCCGAAAATAATGAGCCTGTGTGTTCAGTAGTGTCGGCAAACAAGTCTGTATGTTCGGTGGTGTCCGGAAATGAACCAAAATGCGTGCGCACATTTGCCGGGTTCATGCAGTGGAGTACTTGGGCAAATGAACAAAAATGATTTTTGCGTGGGTGTGCACCTTGGACTCGCAGGGTGCCATTTTGGTATAAAGGCAGTGCGGGACACCGCTGATACTGCCCGCCCAACGAAGACGGTATCAGTTGGCGCCGATACACTAGAGGACACTCCACTGCGTATTTGCGTTTTACCTCCAACCCCCAAGTTTCCAGCTTTTGCGTTGGCTCCATCAATGCAGTCACGAACTGTACTTTGTGAGGAATGTATTTTGCATTTGAGACTCGTGAGTTTCGGGTTTGAAACTAAGGAACCTTTGAAATGTCAGGCCGCATTCCGTGTTACATCGTTTATTCAATGATTCTGGCAGCTTTGTCCTTCAGTGTATTTTTCGCCATTGGCGGCCTTCGTGCGAACTATTATCCCGTGATCCCGCGTGTCTGGTTTTGCGCCGCCCCGGAGAGAACCCAAAAAGTGCCCTCCGTGGCCCTGTTCAACAAGATTTGTTGTTTTTCCCTGCTGGGAGCGTTGGAGCCTTGGACTGAGTTAAGAACCGCCTCTTTTTAGACGCGCTCACAACGAGCGGAGGCACCAGCCCCTGGGACACAGCAGAAGGTGGTCGCACCGACCGAACGTCCACAAGCGTCATTGGATCCCAGCCTCGGCCTTAAATGCACCCACTGCACATCACATACACAAACGAGGCGAGTTTTCCGTGAGTTTGTTCTGATGAGGTTTAGTTTGGTCCTTCTGGCCCCTCTTCATCTGGTTTGCCTTTGATCTGCCTTCCCACATTCCTTTCATGTTTTTTCGCTCGGAACAACAGGCTGACATCATCAAGTCTTCTTCTTCCTCAATGAGGACAAGCACTTCGAAAACAAGTCTTTCGACATCGGTGCAACCATGCCTGAGCAAGAAAGATTCAAACGATCCTTGCTCCCGTTCACTGGAAAATAAACCTTCTCACAATACCCCTACGACCTGAGCATTGGAACACCACTCACCGTGGTAGGTTCTTTCTCTTTTTTTTTCTTCTTCTTCTTCTTCTTCTTCTTTTTCTTCTTCTTCTTCGTTTGGAAGACTCAGCTCAGCAATCAGTTCCCTTGACGTCCACAAGTCTCCAAGAGCAAACTTCAACTGGACGCCAATCTCAACTCAATCACGCACGCAAGCAACAAGACTGAAACATGGGCCTTTCGTCCAGATGACTCACAGCAATTGCCGAGCGGTTTTGTGGATTCGGTTCCGTGCATGGTGCCATGTCTGGTCTTGTTTGTCAATGGCCGAATGTCTTCAACCTCTTTGTCTTGGCACAGCAAGCGTGTCTGTTGATTGAATGATGACCTCTCAATGGGACTTGCAAAGTTGGATCCTTATTTTGAGGGTGAGCGCAAGAGCAAAATCACACTTTTCAAGATCACGTTCATGGGAGTCATCCGTTTTGGTCCTGGCATGCCAATGATGACACAGTGCAGCAGAATGCACGCAAACTTTCCAAGACCAGTGCTCAGCACGTTCTAAACGTGAGAGTGCTTTAGTGTTTTCGAGTGTTTAAAAGTTTTTTGTAAAGAGTTGCTTGTGTGATGTATGCATATGTGGGAACGAGTTTTGGAGTGTACCGGACTCATCGAGTGAGCCTGTTGTAAAGATCCAGGGGAAGTGTAGTTTACCGTAAGGTCTGCTACAGACGTTTTTTGGAATCTGCAAGCCAATGGGTCTTGAGATTCTTTCCCAAAGCCTGAGTGCTCAACAAGCACTCAAGAGGATGAGTGACACTATGAACTGCAGGCTCACTGGTGGAAGAGGTCCGGTCACCGGTCCGGTCTCCGGTCACCGGCCCAGTCACCGGTCTGGTCACTGGCCCGGTCACCGGTCACCGGCCCGGTCACCGGTCCGTCTCTGGTCTCCGGCCCGGTCTCCGGCCCGGTCTCCGGTCCGGTCTCCGGCCCGGCCCTGTCCGGTCACCGGCCCGGTCACCGCTCACCGACAAAAAAAGTATATACTCGATTGAAGGTGCCCCGTGGACAAACAGTTTTGAGACGATCCCAAAAGAGACGTTGCCGTCTTGCTCGCCCAGCCGGATCAGTGTGCTCTTGTCCGAAGGGAAGACTGAAGAGGGTAGCAGTGGCAATTTCAGCACTTTGAAGCGCTGTAGCAACAACCGTCGTTGGCACCAACGACATATGGTGCTGTTTAGGCCAATCACATAGAAGTTCCGCAAGGCCACATTGCTCATGTAGCTGACGCAGATCATCCTCTCCAATGTGCATAACGGCCAGGCCCTTGCCAAGGAGCTTGTGGAGTTTTTTGAGCGGTGTCAGCTGCTTAAAGAGGCTAGAGGCACTTCTCCACCAACTCCAGACAAGTCCTCTCGTATGCACAGAGATAGGTGTGTGATCCGGACAGCTTTCTTGTGCCAAGGATATTTTTCGCCTGAGTTGACGCAAGGCTTGCTGCCTGTTAGCTTCTGTTCTTCCACAGGCAATGCCAGTTGGATCCAAGAAGACTTTAGTAGGAATCGTTTGATGCCTTTCAGACTGTGGATGTGGTAGGAGCCGTGGTTTCATCGTAAGAAGTACTGTGATAACCTTATGATGACAGGTTTTGACACGATCTCTTCCTTTGACTTGAGCATGTAGTTGCGCAGTATCCAAAAAGATGCTAGGGACTAGAAAACGGTCAAGTGGTGATTCTTGCTGATGGCCTTGCTGATGGCCATAACGATAAGTTGGAAAAGTTGGATCTACATCGGTGGAGCCAGCCTGCCCAAGGAAGTCACCCCAGGCTTGCTGATGATATTGATCACATCGATTCAAGTCACCACCAATAAAGACTGGGTGTTCATCGAGTGTAAGGATAGCTTGGAAGATTTGGTCAACCAAAGCTCGTGGACTCTGGGGTGGTAAATAGACAGAGACAATCCATATTTGGCAAGCTTGGAATGACACACTCGCTGCAACCGCATAGTGGTCAACAAGAACTTTTTGACTACTAATAATCCATCCAGGGGGAACCAGGATGGCGACCCCAGCTTGTGGATTCGGGTCCTGCTTTGCTAACGTGGCAGCAACTTTAATATCTGGCCAAGTGTGCGCCAGGTGCTGAAGTTGTACTTGGGTCCATTTGGTCTCCTGCAACAGGACAGGAGCTGTTTTAAGAAGAGTTCGTATAATCCAAGTTTTGTGAGCATTGGCAGCAATATCAGGATGCCAGCTGTTAAGGTTCCAACTGTACAGCCGCCTTACGGACGCAGGAAGGTTCATGGGTCGTTGTAGCCGGAAATCTAAGACTTGTCGACACAAATTCCAGAATTGCAAAGGTACTGCACGCAGAGTAGGTATGTCATTCGGCAGAATTGCCAGGAGAGGTTCTGTACTGCTGGTGACCATTGGTATATTCCAGTTTCTATAGTTCTTTAGTATGCGCAGGAGGGTACGCATTGCATCCTCCAGCTCGACAGTATTGTGAAATCCACAAGCGGCTAGCAAGTTTGTTACACTGATACGTCTGTAAGCCAGTCTGGGAGTGAGAAAATGGATCAAGAAATGTAAAGAAGATACATGAGTGAGTGTTTTGCCACAATTTTCGCTCATAGAGTGCCAATATATTGCACGAAGCCCAGCCGAGAAGGTACGTTGTATCAAACGGAGAGTAGTGAGAGGCAAAAGGGCTAGCCTCGTCGTAATTCATTCAGGAGAGCCTGAGCTCTCTGGAAGACAACGCACGCAGCCTCTCCGTAAATACAAACGTATAATCCATTCTCGACTGTAAGGCTTGGGCATTCATCAATTGCTGTTTCATGAAATAATTGCTTACCAAATGTTTTGACTGCTTGTTCTACTGGAAGGCACAATCGTGTAGAATGACCTGCAGTATCAACTGTGGCAGGATAATTGAACTCACTGCTTGCTTGGGCAAGCGTGGTTTTGCAGATGAACAGGCTACCATATGCATATGGCGGATTAGCAGCCCATATGGTGGCCTGTTCCTGCGGACATAGCGCCTGTGCTGTTGAAGGACAGACATATAGACAACTGTTTTCTATACTGCCTTCAAAGAACACAATGACAATGATTGACAAAGGGGTGTTCCTGAAGTATACCAGCCTTGGCGAGGGCACACTGAGCAAGTCTCCAGAGAGCGCATCCAAATTCACAGAAGGCACGTAAAAAAGGAACTTCGGAGCAGAAGTCATGGAATCCGTTGCAAATTTTTGGTGAGTTTCAACTTGACTCACCCTTTATGTGGGCAATGCAGGGGTAAAATTGAGAGAAGGATGTTGCCATTTCAACTTGACTCACCCCTTTGTGTGGGCAACGCAGGGGTAAAATGTATAGAAGGAAGTTGCCCTTCCAAGTTGACGCACCCTTTGGTGAGCCACCCGAGGGTCAAATTTAGAGAAGGAAGTTGCCCTTCCAAGTTGACGCGCCCTGTGGTAAGCCACCC